TGTGCGGAAAGCAGAGCAGGGAGCCAGGCCCTGGGGGCTCTGAGCAAGGAGGCCATCTTCTCTACCAACTAAGTGATAGGAACCTCCCTGGCCGTAAAGATCCTTAGGTTTACTCCAATGTCTGTTTATTTATTTTTCATTGAAGGTGTGGAAAGCAAGGACCTGATCCTTGGATTCCCAAATCTTATCGGTTAGGCAGAAATACAGGTGTATTGGCTTCTCAGAAACATCACACACACCCCTTTTTGGTTGTGAGTACAGTATGGAGAATAGAAAAGCATCTCTGGTGGGATGGAAAGGGATATATTAAAAAAAAAATGTTACTGTCAGGGAAGCCTTAGACTCAAAATTGGGATTATTTGTCAGCTGGGGCTGGAGATGACAGAATGATCAGTTATAAAAGGCAGAGGCTTTACTTGTCATGTCAGAAAAAAATGAAATCTGACACACTGGTTTTGGGAGAAACTATCCAGTCTGTTGCATGAGACTTCAGGAGACAGAGTTGTACCTTTCTACTCCTGATTGGACTTATTTACGGGTTAGGTGATACATTTCTATTTTATATAAAGGGCCTGAGAAGAGTGAAGTGAGAAACTCACCAAACTGTACAGGGGTGAAGAGGTTCTGCCTTATGTTAGGGATAATACTGAAGTTTCACTGTTGCAAAATCTTTTATATGAAACTTTTTTTAACCACATGTTCAGCAAAAAGTTGAACTCCATTTTGAAGAGAGAGATACACAGTAAAAAGAGCTCTGTTCTTTTAAAAGAGACACGCATGTCTTACCTTGAACTGATTACATTTGTCTGCTTGTTATGTGTGTGGTTTTTTTTTCTTCAGGAGTTGCTGCAATTGGTGGTGCTTTTACAAAACAAATTCTTCAGGATATGGCTGCTTCAAATGAACGTCCTATTATTTTTGCTCTCAGCAATCCTACCAGTAAAGCAGAATGCACTGCTGAGCAGTGCTACAAATATACAGAGGTAACCAAAGATTAACATCTCTCCAGTAGATGTAGTGAAAAGTAAATCTGACATGAAATTTAAAACGGGAGGAAGACAGAGGGTGGAGTAGCAAGTACTATTCATGTCTCTGTGTGTAGATAAAATGAGTTAAATTAAGTAACAGGTTTTTCTTTATTAAGGCAATTTTACTGAAGTCAATACATGCTTGTACCCTCATAAAACCATTTAATAGCTGTTATTGGTGTCAGGCAAGACTCATAGTCTTCATTATAACTGAAGCATCAGTAACCTTCAATCATTAAAGCCTTATGCCTGTTTTTGAATTGTACCACTTTGTGTAATATATACACACAGTGGCATGCTTTTCATTTGAGGTTTTATAAATACTCTTTAGGGTAAGAAAATACTTCAATACACAAAATAGAATCTTTAAAATACTTCTCTGTTAAGAAATGGAGTAATTGACTCCTCTTACAAAGATTTCTATTATGGAAACATAGGTGAAAATTAAAACTGTGCTTATTTATTATTGTATTATAGAAGTGCTAATAGACATGGTATCCTGTAATGCAATCTAGAATTTGAAATGTATGAGCACTTGCCTGCATGTGTTTCATAGTGGATTGTGTTTGGATTTCTTGCCAAATAGAGGGCAGTTTGAATGACAGTTTTGCAGTGTTTAAAAGACAAATTTAGCATGCCCGTTCCCCGCCACACAGTACACAATTACAGCGCAATGCAGGAGCCAGGGAAGTGGCCTGCATGAAGGGCTGGTTATAGTGGGGAAGGACATCTGGTAGGCAGGCAAAAGACACACTGAAGTATTTGATCTGTCACCAAAACGTATAATAAGCCGGCCATGATAGTACTGCATGACACCAAACCAAACAGAATATCCTTCTGAAGAACTGAACAGCAGCAGTGACATATTTTAAAACGCACATTTCCAGTTCTCTAAAATAGGCATAGATATTTCTGAAACAAAGCGCCTGTGAAGTATTTAACAGTGACATTTATCACTTCAGCAGTGCTAGCATAAATAAAGGCTGGCTTTTCTTCCCTACCTAAATTTACTGCTTAAATTCGAGGATGCTCCCTCCCTAGCAAGGGAAGAGCCAGGGGCCTTTGGGCTGCGGACATAGAGCCTGCGCAATGTCCCTCCCCTCATTAGTCCAAAACTGCATTGCCTGCTGTAGAAATTACTTCTCTT